GGCTAGAAATCCTGCCTAGACTGCTGATCAACTGAACGCTGTCTCCGTGTCATTCCTTCTTCGCCGACTCCGTCCACACCTTTGGGGACCCCTGGACCTGCTGGGGCTGGACCCCGGCACTACTATCTGATTTATTTTGGAGTCTTGTTGGTGAATCCTGATCCTGGCATGCTGTATTAAGTCCTTTAATTTCTGGGCCCCCAGGTGGGTGGATCGGTGCATGCGTTCTAACACTGTGACTCCAAGTCAGCCTGGCAGTACAAGCTCCTTGTCAGGTGTATACCACCATCCCTTTACCTCCTGGGCGTGGGGAAGCTTCTTGATCCGCTGAAACTCTTCCTGGGACTCCCCGGGCTAGTCTGGCAAAACCGGGTCCCCTGGGTCTGGTAGTTGTAGGGCCATGGTGGGGACCAAAGTGAAGGCAGCTGCCTTGGCTGTCTGATCAGCCTTTTGGTTACCTCTTGCCACTGGGTCATCTGTCTTCTGGTGCCCTTGGCAGTGGATAATGGCTAACTTGGCAGGGAGCAAAAAGGCCGCAAGCAGGTCAAGAATCTCCTGCTTATTCTTTACTGTCCGTCCCTCTGCTGTCAGCAGCCCTCTCTCCTGATAGATTGCCCTGTGGACATGAGCTGTAGCAAATGCATAATGGCTGTCTGTGTAAACATTAAGCCTCTTCCCGGCCCCTAGTGTCAGTGCCTTGGTAAGGGCGACGAGTTCTGCCTGCTGGGCTGACATCCCAGAGGGCAGGGCCTCCGCCCATACGGTGTCCGCTTCAGTGACCACCGCCGCACCCACATACCTGCACCTGTTCCGCACGAAGCTGCTCCCATTTGTGAACCAGGTAGCCTCTGCATCAGGGAGGGGCCCGTCAGTCAAGTCCTTCTGGAGTCCGTGTACATGCTCTAAGATCCCCGCACAGTCGTGTAGTGGGGCATTTAAGTCGGGGTAAGGCAGCAGAGTAGCAGGGTTGAGGGCCGCACTGGGATGGAACCGCACTCTAGGGGGGTTGAGCAGCAGGCTCTGATAGTGGGTCATACGTGCGTTGCTCATCCACCTGTCAGGAGGCTGTTTTAGGACCCCCTCAATGGCATGCGGGGTTGTGATCCCGATTTCCTGCCCCAAGGTCAGTTTGTCGGCGTCTGCCACAATGATTCTCAAGCACGGCGGCCAGCCAGCAGCTACTGGATCCAGCTTCTTAGACAGGTACGCTACGGGGCGGCTCCAGGGGCCTAAGGCCTGAGTTAAAACCCCCTTTGCTATTCCCTTGCGTTAGTCTACAAAGAGGCGAAAGGGCTTTGTAATGTCCGGCAGTCCCAGGGCTGGAGCAGCCAAAAGGGCTTTCTTTATCTGGTTAAAGGCAGTCTCTTCTTTCTCAGTCCATTCAAATGCCCTCCCCTCCTTGGTAGCTTCGTATAGGGGTCTGGTGATCTGGGCAAAACTCGGTATCCAGAAGCGGCAATAGCCAGCCGATCCTAAGAATTCCCTCACTTCCCTCCAGGAAGTGGGAGTAGGGATTTTCAAGACTGTCACTTTTCTGGCATCAGACAACCGCCGCTGTCTGCCCTCCAGGATGTATCCCAAATAACTCACCCTCTCTCTGCATATCTGAGCTTTCTTCGCCGATGCCCGGTAACCTAAGGTCCCCAAGGTGGCCAGCAGATCTCGGGTCCCTTGCTCACAGTCCTCGGCGGTGTCGGCAGCAATCAGGATGTCATCTACGTATTGGAGGAGGGTGAGACCGGGTGCTCTCTCCTGTACTCACCCAAGTCCTCTTGCAGTGCCTTGTCGAAGATGGTGGGCGAATTCTTGAACCATTGGGGCAATCGTGTCTAGGTTAATTGTCCACTGTAGCCCTCCTCCAGGTCGTGCCATTCGAAGGCAAACAAGGATTGGCTTTGAGGCGCCAGCGGCAGACTGAAAAAGGCATCCTTCAAGTCCAATACAGTATACCAGACTCAGGAGGGCGCCCAAGAGCTTAAGAGAGTGTATGGGTTAGGAACAGTCGGGTGTATATCCATGACTCTCTTACTTACTTCTCGGAGGTCCTGTACTGGTCGGTAGTCATTCGTGTGAGGCTTTCTGACTGGCAGGAGGGGGGTGTTCCAGGCAGATTGGCAGGGAACCAGTACCCCTAGGTTTCGCAGCCTCCGGATGTGAGGCTGGATCCCCTTCCGGGCCTCCTGGGACATAGGGTACTGCTTAACTCTTATCGGGCCTTCTCCTGGATTTAGCTCCACCAGGGTTGGGGCCCTGTGAGCGGCCAGTCCTACTCCCCCCGTCTCTGCCCAAGCTGCGGGGAATTCTTGTAGCCATCTGTCCATATTGCTTTCTACTGGGGGCACCCCCTGGTGGGGGCGATATTCATCCTCCAGTCTCAGGGTCAGAACCTGGATGGGGTGGCCTTTGCCATCAGTGACCTGGGCCCCCCCTTGTCTGAAAGTTATTTGGGCTCCAATCTTGGTCAGCAAGTCCTGTCCTAATAGGGGGTAGGGGCATTCCGGTATTACCATGAAGGAATGGGATACCCGGCCCATTCCTACATCTACTCTTCTTCAGGTAGTCCATGAATACTGGCTCATGCCAGTTGCCCCTTGCACCCAGGACTTTAGTCTGTCTTATTTCCCTTGCTACCGGCCTTCCTGGGGCATTCTCAGACCCAGTGTCCTATTTCTTTGCAGTAAGCACACTGGTTCCGTTGCAACTTCTTTTTCCCACCCCAGGCAGCCCCCTACCTCTCTCCTGGTCATTGGCAAGTTGGTGAAGGTGGCGAAGGTGGTGAGTCCGTTCCTCAGGGGAGTCCGCGGTGGTGGCGAGCAGAATCTTGGCCAGATTTCGGGTCTGCTTGTCACTGACAGCTGCCATGGCACGAGCCTGCTTTTCCTCAGGAGGCTCCCGATTGTTATACACTTTCTCAGCTACCTCCAGCAAGTCCTGAAAACTCTTTTCTCCTAATCTATCTATTCTCTGCAGTTTCTTCCTAATGTCCGTGACCGACTGGTTTATAAAACTCATGATTACAGCTGCTCTATTCTCAGGACCTTCTGGATCCATGGGGGTATAAGTGCAGTATGCCTCCATGATCCATTCTAAAAAGGCAGCTGGAGACTCATCCCTTTCCTGCTATAGATTCCCTACCTTGGTCAAATTGGTGGGCTTCCTAGCAGCCATTCGGAAACCCCCCATTAGAGTCTGGCAGTAGACCCGGAGCCTCTCCTTACCTTCTGCCGTGTTGAAATCCCATTCAGGCCTAGTTAAGGGAAAAGAGACATCTATCTGGGCCTGATTAGTGGTGGGGTGTCTGTCTACGCCGGGAACCACCTTCCTGGCCTCATTGAGGATTCTCTCCCTCTCCTCCGTTGTGAACAGGACCTGCAAAAGCTACTGACAGTCATCCCATGTGGGATGATGGGTGAAAAGAACAGAGTCTAACAGGTCAATAAGCCCCACCAGCTTCTCGGAAAACTTAGGGTTCTGTGCCTTCCAGTTGTAAAGGTCATTAGTGGCGAAGGGCCAATAGTGATGGGGCTGATTGCGTTCCGCATCCGGGGGCCCAGCAGCTCGTAAGGGCAGGGCCTTGATGGTAGAGTCTGGGGCTGCAACAGACAGCTCCCACTGAGCCCTCTGCCTGGTGAGGAACGGGCCTCCTACCGGAACCGCAGCCACTACCGGAACTCTGCCCCTAGCCACTCCTGGGACTCTGCCCCCAGCCACTCCGGGGACTCCGCCCCTAGCCATTCCTGGGACTCCGACCCCAGCCACTCCGGAGACTCCACCCCCAGCCACTCCAGGGACTCCGCCCCTAGCCACTCGGGGACTGCATCAGATTCCCACAATGAGGGAGGATCGATTCTCTCCTGCATCCTAGGGAGCTGATACGGGGGAGGAAAAATTAGTTCCTTGTCAGTTCCCCCTTGCAAGACCGGGTAGAGGGGAGCTGGAGCTGACGGCAAGGCGGTCTTCTTCTTCTCTTTCTTCTTATCTGCTTCCTGCAAGGCAAGAACAAGCTCCGGAGGGTGCAGGGGGAGGAAAGGTTTAAGCCAACAGCGCGGGGCCTCCACGAGGTCCTGCCAAGTAATAATGTAAGAGTTGATCCGGGTGGCCCCCTTTCGGCTGGGAGACAACTTCCCTGACCCGGCAGATGGTGGGGAGATCAAGAATCCCCTCCAGCGGCCACCCGACATTGAAAGCCAGCCACTCGCTGGAACAGAGAGTTTGTCATCAGCTTTTCCGTACCTCTACACTAAGGTTGTTAGCTCTTCCTTTAACTGCTTTAAAATGATCAATCATAATACTTAAAGTAGTTTGAGTCTGTCCCATAACGTCCTTCCAGTAAGTCCACAAAATTAGACAAAACAACACAGAAAGCAAACAACCAAAGGCACCCAAGAACAGCCTCCTGACCCCGTGGAGGCAAAGCCGAAAACTGGATGATGGCCTTACGCCAACCAGCGGGAGCGACCCGCCTCATCCCAGAGTTTTGAGGGGAACCCACTCCCCTCGTGAGGGGTATTTACACCCCTCCTGACAGAGGATTGGAGCATCCTCCGACTTCTCCCCCCCGAGGTCTGCCAGTGCGTCCACCTAGACCATTTCAGGCACTTCAGACTTCAGAAACGAGCTCGCACAGAACAGACACAGACACTTACCGCGGTCAGTCAGACTATCCGGATTGGGGTCCCTCGTGGGTTTTGGGGATTGTTGTGCCCAGATTTCAAGATTCCCAAGAACCCACCAGGGAGCCAGCGAGTCCGATGCAAAAGCAAAGAGTCATTTATTTCAAACCTAGGTCTGGCTCCCCTGCCCTCCTTACTGGCACAGCAGCAGGTGGCAGAGAGACCGAAGCCTGATGGGACAAGGGGTTTTATAAGGGGGTGGAGTAAGGGCAGGAGAGGGGACTGTGGCCCCTGCCAATTGGCCAGGCGCGGTTCGATGTCTCATTACACAGGATGTAGTCATATTGATGGCGTGCACTTCCTTTGATTATCATTGGTTAGTCCAGAGAAATCCTGGGTGTGGCCAGCAGAAG